ATTGTCCCAATGATTACCCACACCGTTACCAACAGTAGTGGCCTTTATGATTGAGTGAATTTCAATCAGTCGAAATGCTCAAATTATGTTACGCCAATTAAGCCAACAAGTAAGTTGAGCAGAACTTATTTAGATTCTCCATCGGATGTTGGCAACTATCTGTCCGCATTTCCATTCGTAATGTTATAGTACACAATATATATACAAGCAATATTAATCACATTATTTTATTTACAATTTAGACAAATAAATGCAGTACAAAGAATTAGAAATAGCATCTCAATGGTACAATAACGAGTACATGTTATCGGATATTTATTTAATATTTTAAATAAAATCTGTTCTATATTGTAGAACATTTTTTTTTTCACACATTGTTAAACAATAGATACATTCGAAGTTGTAATTGCTGCTGCGGCGATTGACATCCAGAGCAAATCCAAAGTTTTGTACTCGTTCATTGAGTCTTCAACAATGTCTTTGAGCGCTGTTGGTGGTCATCGAACGTTGTGTGAGATCCCGCTATCGCGGTTTTCTCAAAATATACTGTGTTAAAGATGCGTGGAGAAAGCCGTACGAGTAAATTCTACGAGCTGGACTTTATAATTTTTTCTTATCTAGCCGCCTAGATCAGACGTCTGGGTAGATAAGACATCGCTAGTGATAAACGTTACGTCGATATCATTCCAAGAACCTCTCAAGGAGTAATATGGATGCCTACGGAGCACACAAGAGAGCATGCAGATTCACTAATAATGGTAAGAGGCCACGTTCATTTACAAGTATATTGAGTACGTTATGACGTCGGAACCATATACCGTAGGCTTTCAAAACCCTGACATTGCGTTTGGCACGCCCATCAACGGTTTGTCAAATAGCGAAAGTTACTCTACGCGGAAAGGACCACTAAACGGTATATTTATGTCCTTTCGAATATCTAAGGAAAATGAGTAGTATCGGTGCCTGCCACAACGTCCCGGACGTATTGAGATAAATTCCGCAGTTAACTGAATGTATTTGAGTTCCGTTGCAGTCTGCAGTGGCCCTGCGCACTCAAGCTTGTTTAGGTTGAAGTCGCTAGAAAACCTTGATCACCGAAAAAACTGACAACACCGATAGATAGTCACATGGTAGCATTTTCTAGTAAAAGCCCATGCTTCATATTATTTTTAAGATAAGCTAATTATGTCGAAGCTAGTTTTTTTTTCCCAGTGGATTGTAGCCAATCACGTACGTTTATACGTGACACCTTGATACGATAGCCGTTATAGTAGGGTAGTAACTACAACGCCTGTGGACAGAATTAGCGGTATTTGATTATTTCACGTTTCTTAATACAGCAGACCAAATGTCGCACAGAGCCGTACATGTTACTGTAAGGAACAAACGATACGTATATTGTATGTCATACCTGTTCGATACGTGTACCATTTGTTCTAGCGTAGCTGTTGCGAAATATTTCTAAATCAACGAAGGAAAGCGTCAGGACACTCTGCCCACATAAATGTTCGTTTGCATTGAGCACGTCGGTAGTACAAGGAAAGTCCCTCATTAATCGCCTCCAGGATCCACATGGCTACAACTCCCAAATTCTCACTGGTCGGTAGTAATGCGCGCGTTCGCTAAGTGTCGTTTCCGTCTGCAGCGGCGCTGCTGCAGACGAACTGCAGACGAAACTAGCGAACAGGGGCATTGCAGGCAAATGTTTCAATATCATCAGTGGGGCTATAGTAATCTCGAGAGGACAGTAATTTGTAAAGCGTGCCAAGATATTACAGCAGTTTGTGAAAGGAAAGAAGATATTTGCGAGAGTCATACACCTGATAACAAAGCTGTTCTTACCTTTTGGCAGTGTTGAAGCGAGACAAAGCACGCCGACGATATAGCGACTGGTAGCCGCTACACGTATTTTCGTTTTGACTGGACAGTTGAAAAATTTTCCGGTTTAGTCCTCAAAACAATCTGAAAGCCAACATTAACCATACAATACAAATACCGTACTACACTGAGACGTATAACAGGTCCTTCAATGAAGAGTCTTTGTTCACCAGATTTTACTCTGGTGATGCTACATGCCACAAGAAAACAATGAACTACTTCTACAACAAGTTAGCGCAATTATTCTATGATATTAGATAAACGCTCTTGATAACTGCAAAATGTCGCATAACCACTCAACTAACATAATGTAAATTTGTATATATGTTTGGCCATACCGGAATTGTGTATATGTAAAGCTGCAATTTACGCAAGTATACACACCCTTCTGTGAGATAACTGAGAAAAGCTAACGTAACTGAGCTCGGAGTCATAGATGTTATATTACCTTGAATTGGATATAAAATACTTATGCAATAGCTTCCTTTATCCACACAAACTGTATCGTTAGCGGACTCGAAGTAACTGGTCTGTATGTATCATTTGTATGTTTTTTTTTTTCCATCAAATTGTATAAATAAGCAAAACAAAAAAATTAAAACAAACGTCACAGTATGTTGTCTGAAAGCTATCTTATGGTCAGCTAGTCAAGATTGATCTTTATCATTTTTGCTCGCCTTAAAAAACTGGCAACACTATGACCCTGGGATTATCGTACATTAGTTCGTATGTCAGACCACTTTTCGTTTAATTTTTCGAATTTAGATTTTCGAATAGAATTTCGTTTAATCTGTGGTAGAAGTAGTATGAGGATCTATACCTATGTATAGGATGCCATACCAAATCATGTATGTGCGCTTCGTTATGCACGAAAGCAAGTCTGAGTGATTCAAAGTATTGCGATATATTAAGCTGTCTCTAGCAAACCTTTTAACCTGGCAGAAATTAGCACGCATTGATCTGAGCCCTTCGTAGTGATTACGTCTGCTTGGCGGCAAAATAATATATATGTGATTATCTTGTAATATATATACAAGCATTCTTCTAAATTTTGCTTTTTCCTTATTTAGGGTTTTTCTGAAACCCTTATTTACTTTAGGAAACATTGAAGTGATTCATATAACATAACGCAACGACCAAAGCTGTCAGAGTAGACTTTGAAATTAAAAAAACCTTTAAAATAGTTAGCCTAGAACAATGTCTTTAATATGTATTAGAGGTACCCTTCTTTATTTTTTACACACTTATCCCAGCATTTTGGAGACTCGGTAGACAGCCATATACCTACAGTTGACGTCTTCATATGTGATTTTTCCATCTAAAACTTCTCGAACTGAGTCGGCAGTGGGATATGCTTGCTCACCAGGTACCCACAGACCTAGATCGGAAAAGAATAAACGGGTAGAAACCAACGTTGAGTACTCTTTGCTTGATTCATGAAGTAATTGAAGCACAGTGATGAAGGCTGGCGTTGTCATAACAGACTGCGTGCTTTCGATTACCGTGTCAACAGTGCGTGAGTCCCTCGGGAAGCTCAGGTTCCGGGCTCCATTATATTTTCGGTGAGTATCTGATAGAGATGTCTTTAATGTCCATTGTAAGTACCGTAATTACCTTACGTCTTGACCCACTCGACACCGTCACCAGACTCCATTTCATTTCAGGGCGACACCATTTTCTGGCCTGGTCCCTTCTCGGCCGGCGGTAGAAATTGAAGCACGCCTTGTCTGTGGTGACTGTATACGCCATGTCAATTTTTTTTTGTTGATTAAAGTACCCCAAATTGCGCGTGAAATCCACTACACGCACCCCTAAGCAGCGTGGAACCGATTCGCGAGGAACCCATTCTTTATTCAGTTTTTGTATTTTTAGGATTTTGATGACAATTCTGTAACAGGTAACTCACCCGGCTTTTATTGAAAGGTTTCTTTGCGGCCAGAATATCTACCAGCAATACATTTTTTAACGGTACATAGTTAAAAAGTAATTAAGGTTTAAAGCCCGCCGAATTAACTTGTAAGAGCCTAATATTAGGCTGTTACAAGTGTGAAGTTGAGTAGCTTTTACAAGAGAGTTTATACCAGAAAAAATTAATTCCGAATGAAAAACGTTTTTTAGTTTCGAAAATCAATACAGATGGTTAAGTTTTTGTTCCTAGAAGGTCACACAGCTGCGAAGCTTCATCGAAGAAGATACTAGGTAAGAAGGTTATAAACAAAAGCATAAACTTCTCAAGAGTATAGGTTGAAATGTTGTTAAAGACCAGCAAGGAAGTAACCAGGTGTTGGGACTCAAAGAACTGGAACGCGTTGCGTCAAGCGAAAAAATTGTCACGAAAGCTGAGCACTGAGTTCGGATTTTCTAGACTACAACTGGTATTTTACATCAGTGTGTTACAGAATTATAACTCAGATACAGAATATGCGGAAACTGAATAAAACCCCATGGATTGGCTCCAGATCATCTGAAAGTACGTCTATTCAACTTACAAACTCAACAACAAACTCGCCATAAATAGGTCGTAGTTCAATTTTAAGCAGCTACTAGGGTAAGACTGGATAATGGCATCGGCCTGGAAAAAAATCGAGTTTGGTATCGCGCAGGTTCGGACAGATGGCGATGGCAGTACTTAAGAACATGTCCTACTATAGGGTACGAGCTGAATCTTCCCGCTATCTTTCGGTCCTCCAAAAGCTCATGGCCTGTTCGCATGGCGATCGGTCGCACGTAGCCTGATCATTTGATGGCAACGCGAGAGCCGACCGTCATTTTATGTGCGAAGGAATAGCTAACGTTTGTTTCAATCAGTTTATTGTTTCGGTCCAGGTCCGTGTGAAATTCCATATGGGAACGCCAATTGCACTTATTAAAAAAACACGAAAAATTTATACTACAATAGTACCAGGGTTTAGCCTATAGGTACTGTCATTTCAATCATTTCTCCCCTTCAAAAGGCTGAGTGTCAGGAGCTTCTATTTTTCACACTTTCTTAGATATCTTTAAATACAAAATAGACTTAAATATTGCCACTGATTCAGGGTGTCGATTTGCCATCAAACAAACTGAGACTCGAAAGCAGTAAAGCAATAGTAAGACATTTAAAGTAATAGTAAGACATTTATTACCACGTCCCGAATGACTCGTCATAACTCGTTTGCCAAGGCCTTCTTCACGCTTTCCTTCAAATTCTATCGCAAACTATAGCTGCGCTATAAATACCTCAATTTGATCAATTCTTCAGCTTAATCATTTTATCAGGCGTCAGCAAAATTTTGCGATTGCTCGGTGACTTTTCTTTATAAATATACTTATCCGAAGGCGGTCGTCGTTTACGTTTCGGACCCAGGTGGTTACTTGGCAATAATACCTTCATTGGCCTTCCTCAGTGTTATACCGGCTGATAGACAGATCATTGCACATATTTGGTTGCCAATGGGTCCGAAAGAGAAGCGTCTTGTTCGCTGCGCCGTAGAGGTTTAGAAACTGGAGACGCTGGAGTAAACAAATGCGTTGAGCGTGGTACCGAACGACGTGGCACCGCTCCCTGATGCCTCAGTAAACGGACTGAGGCAAATTGCGAAATGCCTTCTATTGAGTGTCTTTGCAAATTGCATAATCCAGGATGTCGTCGATCTACAGAGATTGACTGGTTAGGTGTTGGCAAGACCTCGCTAGGATCCTTAGGATTTTCGGTTACTTGTCTCAATTGCTTAACAGCAGTCGACGTCACTGTTTCCGTGTCGTTATCGCTATCGAAAACCTGGCATAGCTGGCGATTAAAGTAATTGGCTATCTCCTTCCGAAGGCTGATGGCATTAGCCCGAGTTTTTCTGGCGTGCTGAAGAAAAATTTCCCCAGTGAGCGTCATGTCAGACGGCAAGAAGACCTGCGAAACACTTAGTGAGGTTAATGTCGAAGTTTAACTTTTGCATAACAATAATTTATAGATATTGCCAGATGTGATAATGCTTAGTGTATCTATGTGTAAGCTACTCACAGCCCTAGATCTTAATAACCTAGAAATATTTTGTTCCTATCTCCCCTCTTTCCCCAAAAATGTCAAATCTTTCATTTTTTCCGAAAAAAAAAAGATATCGAATTGTAATTTTGCATCTTTACAGAGTATTCTTTTGACTCCTTGTATTTATATCAAACGAAATTGATTGTTTTTGTTAATAATTTAAGTAAAAACAAGCTAGAATCAGAATAAAATCAATGGAGGTAGTAACATAACGCGTGTCATGAAACTTACAGAATTCTCTAAGAATCAGCTATGTAATCCTGATATTTCTGAACCCCCTTTTTTTTTTTTAGACAATTACCTGATTAGCTACTAGTCGAAATTCAGTATTCATATCCGAAGTACGTTGGCAAGCGTCGTCGTTTAGGTAACATTGCTACTAAAGTCCGTTATTTTTTAGAAGAAATTTAAATTGCGCGCCATAGAACCCGCATAGCAGTCTAAATTAGCACGTTTCTTCAATTCGTGTTCGTGCAGAATAACTCCTGAATTAATTTTGGCATAAGCTAATATCTGTTATTTGACTTTGCAGCACAGAAAGCATACTTTAAACTCACAGCATCAAGCATATCGTGCTCCGATCAACGTTGAGTACAAAGGTTGGCGTGAATCCGGAATTGTTGCATAGTATTTTCTATTATACGAGTGCGCTGCTCTGCTTTAAGTGAAATTAAATGTTTACTACCTGACTATCGAGCAGGAAAATGACGTTCGTAACATTACCTTCATTTTACTGAAACCTGGAGACGATGTCGTTGAGTTCGATATATAGATGTCATATCAATAAGGTTATTAGGCCTGCCAATAAGCTTCTTTTCGAAGCTGGTAAGAACAAGTATTTAGAAAAATAGAAATAGGGCTTAATTGCAAACTAGAGTAACTGTAGTTTATTCTAAAGCAGGCCCATAAGCAATCGGTGCCTGTGTCGTACCGAACTAGATTTTCGAGGATAACGGCATTTATAAGGGCATACTAGAGATTGCCATATCGTCATAAATTAGATAACGTGTCTGATTTGATGTACATCAGAGATTCACTCGCGAGATTTAAATGACCGGCATCGTTCCAGGGACAACGGCTCAGCTACCGAAGAAAATCGCAGAAAACAGCGCAATGATACAGAACAATGACTCAGAATAATACCAACGACGAAGTCTGTAAACGTACGATACAATGGCGACCACCCACCTTGAATGCAAAAACTCATCCAGCGCAAAAGCATTATTTATGATGATATGTTATCGTTATGCCGAACATATAATCCCTATGAGTACGAGCCATTTATTAGGCAAGCCCCTATAGTCACCTCCTGGAGCATCTCCTGGAGTCCATCTGTCGTGAAAAAAGTGTACCTCCGTGTTGGATTACCCCTTAGCACGTTTGAAAATGAAACATTATCCGCTGCCGTCTACGAAAGATCTAAATTGTACAAACACCTCTTGTGAATAATAAATAAGTATGACGGTACGCTGTTGCTGCTGCTAAAGTAGCAGCAGCGAAGCTGGCAAAATGCGTCGGTCAATTGTACGCTGTATCATCTGCCTGGCTTTGTACTACCTTCTCACTACAAAAATAGTGGGTTGGCCCATTTCCGGGTCACCCTTCGTCCGATAAATTTTCATTAGTCGTCGGGGCAAACTGGTCAGGCTTGGAGGCGTAACTTAGTATGAAAAAAACTATGCCACTGCCAAGAGGCAGCAGTCGCTTGCTCAGGGATGAACAAGAGGCGTCTACCTGGATATCCGTTTTAAGGCTCAATGGGTCCCACTTGCTTGGAGACAGTTGAAAACTTAGCATTATAATCGGTTATTGTATACCGAATACATGCCAGGATAGCTTGCAACCTCTATGCACATCGATACAGACAGAGATCCATGTTTTGTCGCAAAACGGTGTATCTAAATCGGGGGCCGTGCGATGGAAATAGACAGCGGCTGCAGCGGCAGCGAGTTGGGTCAGACACACGAAGGGAGATACACTAAGTTCTCAACGCGATTATGGTCTGCTGCTTCGAACGGGAAACTACTCACGTAAATTCATAGATCGCCTGGTTGCAGAGGACGGTCACGGCGACCGACGAAGCAGTAGCGGTAGGAGCCGTACCCCCAGCTTGTCCTGCTGGATGCCTATGCGAACAGACCACAGATCACGCAGCACCACGTCATGCGATAGCGGGCTAGCTTGCTGACGAAGTTGCGGGTACCCCCCTGGGGTTAGGTTCAAACAGAAGGCAACTAGCGAAAGGGAAAGAGATCAGGCTAAACGGGATGGCGGTCGTCGAGTAGAAAGAAGGATACACGCTGTACTATCATACAGCTGGTGCTGTTGCAACGGATCCAAGGGGGACGATGATTTTCGATCATCAGCAAAGCGTGAAATTGTCTGAGTTGTCCCGTTCGGCCAACCATCCACCTTTAGTTTTTGGCCACCTTTGCCTAGCCCCAGACTTTCCCGCTGTTTCCCCTTCTCTTCCTGCTACTGTTCTTGGCGCTGCTTAGCTATTGTCTGCCCACCTGGACATGGCCTGAATCTCCACCTATCAGAAATACGAATTATCGCTGTCGCATCTGCCCTCGCCCCACACTCGCTCCCATTCTTACTTGCCCCGTATGCATCTACCCTATAATGCAATACCCAAAACTCCGCCTCGATATTTTCAGGGGTAGGTAGCCTTGTTTCTCGACTTTGTTGGCAAACCCCTAATTCTGATCTGCCCGTCTATTTGGAAAGTGAGAAATATTTGCGCCATCATCAACGCTCGACGCTCTATTATTGCGTTTCTTCTGCGCAGTCAATCCCATAGTAGCCGGCTTATAAGTGAACGTATCATAGCATGCGAACCTTTTCATCAAATGTAACATTCAATGTTTACTTGTCTAAGTCCCGTTATTACTTAGCAGAGTAGATCCTATCAGTTAATACATAACTAGATCATGTTCATGATAGTAGCAGTTTAGATTTAGTTTTTTGTGATGAGTACGGGGGGTATACGCATTATAATAAAACTTAGGTCATCTTAATTGTTTGCATTTACAAGTATCGAGAATAATCCTTTACGTAAATTTTATATAAATTGTACATCACCTTTTTTTTTCAACAAATTTTAGCCTCGTTTCCCTATTCTTGGTTACTCGAACAGGGAATAAGCAATCTCGCTGATCCCTTATAGTTTCTCCATTCATCCGTTGGTCCGTTTGAACAATACTGTCACCTCACCGCTAAGTTATTTTATCGCTTTATTCTAGTATTAACGAATATGCTTCATGTTAAATCTTACCAAATTGCAGGTGTCTACTGTTGAAGTTATCCCGTTGCTTTAGACTGTTGCCATGCAGCTGTTCTGCCAGCTTAAGTTACTTCATTAACTTGCTCCATTAGCTTGTTTTAGCCACGCTCTAAGTGTGCCGTTAAGTAACTCGATTCCAATGAATCATGACACCCAACACAATAGCTCCAAGGTGAAATCTACGCTTTTAAAGTTGTTCCGCTGTAACTTTTCAAAAATTTCAGTGCATCAAGTTAGTTGCTTTGTTGTAATTATATCGTTCCCACGTTCAAATGCCCTAGTGATTTTAACGTACGCCGAATGTTTTTCCTTTTCGTTTTTTCATTTTATAAGTTCGGAGTTTGAATTTCCAGTGACTTCATCGAGTCCCCGTAGCTTTATAATTTCCTTAAAGCTATCTATGTCGGTTCAAGATTTTCTGTTTTCAAGCGAAATTATTCCATTTTTACCTTAAATATAATTATTCCTGATTTGAAGGTGTTTTATACAAACCCAAACAAATCTTTCTGTGTGAAAGTTAACAGTGACCCGTCCGCAAAGTTTGTTAGTCGATTTGTGCGTATCTAATCTCATTGAACACTAATTGAAATGCAAATCTATTTGGTTACCATAGGTCCTTCACCCTACATCTACCGTGTTAGAACGATCACTGGTTCCAACAAGCTATCATGCTTATTTTTTTATCGTCATTAATCCCCCTCCCGATTACCACGTAAATGTATTTTACCACTTCGAGGCAAGTTCGCATAGAAAACGGCCAAAAAATGAATACTATTTTCCCAAGTGTCTATTATTTAATGAATGAGGTGCACATCTACTGTGATCAGTCCAAAAGAAACCTTTGCATGTAGAACAAACTAAAATGTTGTTATTCAATCATTTTTACATCACATATATTCAATAGTAATGTTGAAAGACAATGCTAACGTGCGGTTCGTTGACCTAAATCTATTAATAAGAATAACGCCTATATAAAAAGCATGATTCGGTCGTTGCACGATGCCATCACCGACCCGAAAATAAGATGTTCAAAACGCTTATCGTTGCCAATGAACATATCTAATTATGAGTCTCATTCCACCCGCTGTTTATCCTTTTGACATGAACATTTCAATATTTCAAGGTTCCGTCGAGGGGGTTAGCGTTTAAATAGAGAGATCGGAACTGGCACAAAGGAAAGGGGACAGATGGGTTTGATGTCAAAGAGGACCATACTTTCCCTATGAAAGGATCTTTGTCCATGACCAGGTGAGCTAGGCCAAGATTGTTCAGGCTGCTTGTGGCGCAATGTTTGGGCCTTTTCGACCTGATCCGTGAGGGGCAGCACCAGCGGAACACTAGTCAAGGCACCAGCCCTTGCTTGGTTGCCCACTATCCAGTCAGCTGGCTACTCGCTGCGAAGCACGTGAACATTGCTGCACGCGATCTTGGCCATCTATTGACTTCAAGTTCCTTTTAATTTATTGAGATTATTTTAATAAATAATTAATTACCCTTCTCGAGGCGAGGCGCGGCGCACCAGTCTGCCTGCCCTCGTATCCGCCTGGGGCAGGTGTAGTGAAAGCTCAGTGTAATGGACTTACAAGGGCGTGGACCACTTATGGGCAGAGGCCCAGCCGCTTTTGCCCCTACTTATTCACCACTCGCTGTATCGACTGCGACGGCTGCTCAGGGGGTCGTCTACATCTAATGTTAGTTGTGCCTTTCAGACCCCTGCTTAACCCGTCAGTGCAATAAGGAGGGCAAAGCAAGAGCTGCCTTTCGACGCTGCGAAGAAAATATGAAAGCAAAAAAATAAATAAACGTTGTTGTGGTAGGAGCATCCGAAAGACTTCGACAGGGGCGAGCCACAGCTCGAAAATGAGCAACTGAGTATCGAGTGATAAACTCCTTGTGCAAAAGGTTCCAGAGGCCGTCTTTGTGGACACCATTATCTATTGCGTCGAATATTCAGACCGTTCCTAGGGAAGACCACTTGATCAAGACCACACGAAAAAGCTATAAACGATGAGACGTAACGTAAAATACTCTTAAGCTTTTAATAACTCTACTTTACTAATAACTACTGCTCTTAACTCTGTTAAGGGCAGTAGTTAACAGAACTTATGAATAGAAAAAAGAGAACGGCTGAAGCACGTGTTAAATTAATGCTTTTTTTTTTCAGTTTCTTTTACACTGATTCG